CCCCCCCCCCTCTCCTGGAACCCTGAAAACCCACACCTGACCTTCCACCTACCTACTGAGACCCCGCCCGCAAACCCGCTCGAGCGCGCTTTTGAGCGGCGCTCAAAAACTCGAGCGCCGACCGTGCGCTTAATTAGCACGCGGTTCCACAGCCCGCAGTCCCTCCAGTTCGCCGTTTCGGCGGGCATGTGGAGCCGACCATTGCGGGGGTCCGTGTGGAGGGGGTTGAGATGGCCGTTGGTGGTCTTAGGTTCGAATTCGAACGCAGCTTGTCCACGACGCCCATCGACACTGCTGCCCCTCCGCTGTCGTACTTTCCTATGATCTTGTATATTGTCGTCCTCTGCCTCCCTTGCTTTGTCCTGATCGAAAGTTGACAGCTTCATTCCTTGTCCTTTGCTGGAGGAGTGCATGACTGACATTGTGAGGAAGACTGCTTTGCTAATGTTCCTGCTCGTGGTGTTGGTACTGTTGATCATTCTGCGCTTGTCCCAACTGGCCGGTCGTCGCAACCGACGTGGAAGGAGGAAGGGTTTGAAGAGGCTTTGACAAGGATTTTTGGCGAGCAAAGTCATGGGGGATGAATACAGTAGGGGGGCACATGGGTATGGGATGGGCAGGGGGGCCTACGGAGGCGGGAGTGGAGTGGAGCAGAACATGCAACACAGGTTTGATCCGAATTTGTATTCGCACCTGCCTCCTCACCAGCAGCCGTTGCCTGACGATGTGGCGTGGGCACCGCCTCCATCAACCCTGGATCTGGTGTGGGGGTTGACTCAGACGTCTTACGACACACCTGCACAAGTGCACAATCGGGGTGGGGGTATGGGGCCCATGTCCGCACTTTTGTCCGACGAGCGGGGGGGGGGCCGTCTTCCTCTCGATTTGCATCCATCTCCAACCACCACCATGGATGTGTCTAGAACGGTCCTCATCCAGCGAAGTGGAGAAAGCGCCGGTAGCAACACACAGACGATGGAAGGCACCGCCTTCGACGAGGGGATTTCGCAGCATCAGGCGAACCGAGTGTCGTTCGATGTGGCGAGCCAGGGCGGACCCCGTGCAAGTGTTTTGCACCACCCCCCTTCGCCAGCCGCGAGTATGCAGGAAGGGAGGGCTGATGTTACCAGTGTTGCGGAATCCCCTCGATGTGTGGAATGTATTGTGTGTCGCTTCAATAGCTTGAGGGCAAATAGTGATGGTGAGGGAGCACGACCGGATAGTGTTGCAAGCGACACAGACTTCGTTGACGTTGATGATAACGACGGTGAGGATGACGAAGAAGAGGTGGTTGTCGTGAAGGAGGCGACTGCTGGCGGGAAGACAAAGCAAGCATCCAACGGTCGTGGGAAGGCAAAGGCGAAGGACAAGGAAGGTGACAAAAATGGCGAACGTGGCTGGAATGGTGGGTGGGCGAACTGGAATTTGAACGAGTCCCTCGTTCTTGTCCAGTGCAAGAAAGACCAAGATGACCACTTTGCTAATGTGGGCCACAACTATGCGTAAATGAAAACCAGGGACCAGAAATGGATGCATATCGCAAAGCAGCTGGACAAGGAAGGAGTTCGACGGAATGAGGACCAATGCATGAAGAGGTGGGAGAATATATTTGGGTGGTACAAGAAAGTGTGGGACAGCGAGAAGGAGTCGGGACTGCAGTCATACTTCCTGATGAGCACGAAAACACGAGCAATAGAGAAGGACTGCAGTCCCAGCAAGGGGAGCATAGCCAAGCGCCCGCCGTTGGGGGGGAAGCCGACACATCGGCGAGCGAGAACAAGGAAGTGGATGGAGGCGAAGGGTGTGGCAGCAGGTCCTCCGCGAACGACATGTCAGGGAAGCGAAAGAACGCCAGGCAACTGGCTTTCGAGGCAGTAATCGATGTAATGAAAACGCACTCCACCGTAGTTGCCGAATTCGTAGACCGCGCGAGCAAGCGGCAGTGCAGCGTGCTCAAGAGGCAGTGCGACATATTGGACAGGGAGGCGAGATCGCAGGAGAGGCAGTGTGAAGTCCTGGACGCCGGCCAACAGATGTTGTGCGATGTACTTCTGAAGATCGCATCGGTTTTGGCACTGGACTGATTGCGAAGTTTAGAAAGGCGGGTTGTGTATTTCGCCGACAGATTGATTTCTGGTTTTCATCTTCTTTTATTGGCGTGATTGTGTTTCGCCTATCAGATTATTGTTTGGACAATGCCCCCTGGCCGTCCATATATCGCGCACCGTCGCGCGAGGGAATTGGAACGGATCGTTCCGAAGTGGTCATTTTAAACGATTGTGTATTATTTTTATTTTTTTCCTTCATTTTGCGGTGTGTGACCTTCCTGTTCGTTTGCATGCGGTGAGTGTCGTTGTCGCCCGAGGCGTCGGGGTGTTACCATGGTCATTGAAGAACAACGTTCAACTTCATTGTCAAGTCGACGTCACCGACGGGGTTGAATGAACACAGACTCGGACACCTACGGTCGAACGGTAGATGGGTATTCGACGGTCCGCCCTGCGGGATGCATTCTGACCTGTGCATAATGTGGGCCGCCTGTCAACTGCTGCATGTCGTTGTTAGGGTGGTCATCCGTGTTTTTTTCTTTTTCTCAGAAATGGGTATAAATAGAGAGTGTCGTGTGTGTGGTGCCAGATGCCACGATTCATATATGAGAGATGAGATGGTGGCGGTGCGCAAAGAGTTGGGGTTGTGGGTTTAGGGTGTCGACACTGTGACGTGCCGGGGTTTTCTACTCAGATTTCACGAAGGGGGCAGTGGCCCGTGGGAGTGGGCACGGTTCACCACAGTCCGAATGGTGAATTGCGCACTCGTTTTCAAATCAAAACATAGTGGGGACAGTGCTTTGGTGGACGGGGAGCTTGGCGGGGTCATCGACACCGTTTCAGAGATTACATATTGCACCTGCGGTGGGGTGCGGCGGTGCTCATCCATGGACATCCGCGTTGCACTGAGGGGCCGTGTCCTCGACCAAACGATCACGTTCTGCGAACTCACGCATCGTCGTGGCGAGGACGACGGCCGCCTTTTTTATTTTCCGGATCCCGTGACGCGGCATGAAGTGCGCCATTACGAGGTGGACGTGAACGGAGAAACCATTCTCCACCTCAGCGTCGGGTTGGGGTTTGCGGATCATATGTTGCACGAGGCCATCGGTTATGCCACGAAGGTCCATCGAGCGATCCCCGACCGCTGGGACGGGGGGTGGACGTCGTCGACCTCCTCATGTCCAACCTGGCCAAGGAATATGAGGATCGTATCACTGATCCGACGGATTTCAGGGTCCGCCCGGATCCTCCGTTGCACGACAGCCAGATCTCCGTGCCGAGATCTAGAGCATCGAAGAGTAGAAGCGGATGAAGTCGATGGCCGCAAACCGTCGATGGTGAGAGGAAAGAGAGAGAGAGAGAGAGAGAGAGAGAGAGAGAGAGAGAGAGAGAGAGAGAGAGAGAGAGAGAGA